CTAGGGGGAGCTTCAGTTGGTTGTTCAGAATAATACACACCATTCAACTCATGACATCACATCAGCTGCTACAACATATTACATCACCCCTCGTCTCCATATTTGGACTAAGGATCACCCACCTAACCAAGTCATTGGCAATCCCAATGCTGGTATTCAAACTGGATTAGCAAAATCTAATCAAGATAAGTGTCACTATGCCAGATTTATCTCACTAATTTAGCCTAAGAAGATTCCTGGTGCGCTAGATCATTTTGATTTGATTACGACCATGCAAGAAGAACCGGTTGATTTTGAAAGAAATAAGGTCTGGATACTTGTCCCTCCCCCATAAACATCAAAAAATTGTTTGATCTCGTTGGGTATTTCAAAACAAAGTTGATGAAGTTGGAATTGTTATTCGGAACAAAACCATATTAAATGCTAAAGGCTACAGTCAACAAGAAGGAATAGATTTTTATGAAGCATATGCTCTTGTCGCAAGATTGGAATCCATTCAAATCTTTCTAGCCTACACAACTCACAAGAACATCAGATTTCATCAAATGGACGTCAAAAGTGTTTTTCTCAATGGAGAATTAAAGAAGAAGTCTATCTCTAAAAGCCACCAGGTTTTGAAAACCTCAATCTTCCAAATCATTGTTACACGATCATAAAAGCAGTATATGGCCTTAAACAGTTGGTACAAAACTTTGAATAAGTTGTTGGAAGAATACAAGTTCATTAGAGGAATTGTTGATCCAATGTTATTCAGAAGGTCAAATCAGAAGCATCTAATGCTTGTGCAAATATATTTTGATGATATTATATTCGGTTCACAAGATGAATCCATGGTTGCCGACTTCTGAAGACTTATGGTAAGTAATTTTCAAATAAGCTTCAGTCATGAAATGAATTTCTTTTTAGGTCGGCAGATAAAGCAATCTCTCCGAGGTACATTTATCCATCCAACTAAATACAATTATGAACTTCTCAAGAAGTACTCTATGGATAATTGTGGTCATCTAAAGTTCCTATGTCCTTCAGAGCAAAAATGTATGTTGATCCTTCTAGTGAATTAGTAGGTCAGAAGACTTATCGAGGTATGATTGGATCGCTCCAGTATCTTACCGCAAGTAGACCTGGCATCATGTTCTCCACTTGCTAATGTGCCCGATACCAGGCCAAGATGAAGGTTTCACATCTCACTGTTGTGAAATAGATCCTTCGATATCTTTGAGGAACAAAATCCTTGGGTTTATGGTATCCAATTGTAAATGACTTCGGTCTTCAATCTTTAACAGATTCTGATCATTCTGGATGCAAACTCGATCAAAAGAGCACATCCAGAGGATGTCAATTCCTTGGTGTAACAACCCAAATTTTCAAAAGAAATTTTTCATTTTTAATTAATCAAACACATTTCCATAAATCATGAAATCCCAACATAATTGTTTTCAAATCCACATTCATTACATCTTTATTTAAAACTATGAGATTGTCCCACAAAATATCGGTGAGAGAGTGTACGCTGCGCCATCATGCCTTACCATTGCCCTTGGGCTCAAAAGTACCCGAAACAAATCTACAAATAGTAAGTTAATGCTTAGTGAGTCCCCCAGAGCATACCCCCCCATGCACAAGCCACATATCACATATCATATTAGCTATGAAAGCTATCTCTACCACATAACATATCTTATTCCATAAAGCTATCTCCACTTTATAACATTAGCTGTAAAATCTATCTCTACCATAAAGATGTCATAGGCTCCCCCACATGGTCTTATACCTAAGTGCCATGGGCTCCTCCCATGGTCCTTCCTTGTCGGACAACCATGGGTTCCACCACATGGTCTTACATCCAAGTGTCATGAGCTCCCCCCATGGTCTTTCATGCAAGAATCACATAACCACTAACATACAACTTAGCACAAAGCTAACTATCATACCATATATCTATACTACCGCTAGTGTACCACATATCATAAAATAGGTCGGTCTTGGTGCCTTTGACCCATTAGTATGGTGAGAAGACTCACCTCTCTCGAATGTTGAACTGACAATGCTAGAACTAAATATGTCCCAGGTGTTGCTCCAACTCAACTGCATGTAAGCATTATAAGATAGACTTTTCATAAACCCAAAATTACTTCCAAAGTCAATCGTGGTCAAAACCAATGTAATCAGTCAAAGTCAACAATCCATGTTGACTCCAACTCTTCGAGTGCATCTAGCGACTCGTCAAGTTCCTTCCAAGTTCAAAAGACTTGATCGAACCCTATCCAACTCGTCGAGTTGTTTCATCAACTCACCGAGTTCGCTTGATATACAGAAAACCGGGAAACCCAACCCGACTCGTCGAATTGCTAGGGGAACTCGCCGAGTCCCCCTTCCTGTTTGCTTGTTGTGATTATACATCGAATACAAGGATTCCAGGGCTTAGATCTGAAGCCCTAAGGTGCCTAGAAGCATAAAGTTTCCAACTTTGTCTTCTATAACCGTTCTAATTTCTCTAAGATCCTTAGTAAAGTTTGGAAAGTTCCAAAGCTTTTCCATATGGTCCAAAGCTCTAGGGATCTGAAATCCCTCCTTTCCAAAAAGGTTTTCTAGTCCTCAAAACGTTCCAAAGGTGGAGGCTTTATGTACATGCATGTCCAATGCATGTCCCTAGGTTAAAATGGCCAAAAATAGGGAAATATGCCCTAAAACCCTTGCATGGTGTCCTTACTCGACCAAAGGCCAGATCTAGCCCACCTTGGGACCATTTTGCCCTGGAGATTCATAAAGTTGCAAACTTTATGAACCCCCATGCATTCAATCAACAAAAAGGGTAGGAAATGAAGAGTATTCTCAAGATATAGCCATAATCTGTGATAAAATTTGAGTCTTGAAGACTTACAGCAGTCCACAAAAAGGTCAAGCTCAAGGATGGGTGCTTGGTTTGCTGGATCTTCACACTATCTCCTTTTTCTTAAGCTTCAAAACCACACTAGCCCACAAAATGGAAGAGAATGGGAATAAGGTTAGCAAAAACGTTCTTAGGGTTTGGAGGCTGATGGGGAGGTCAACCTCAAGGCCCTTAAGGAGATTATATAGGGGGAAAACCCTAAAATTAGGGTTTTATCATTACAGCGCCTACTCGCTGAGTCGGCCTTCCGACTCATCGAGTAGAGTGTAGATCCCGCGTCCTTGAAATGCCTTCTACTCGACGAGTTGGACTCCCAACTCGTGAAGTCCACACACATCAACACCCTAGATTTTAAATAAATTAAGTAATACCTAGGATAGGTGTTACAACTCTCCCCCACTTGAACTAGACTTCGTCCTCGAAGTCTGCTGATCCAAAAAAATCCGGGAGTGATCTCGCATCTCGTCCTCCGGTGCCCAGGTCCACTCGGAGCCCCTGCGGTGCTGCCATTGCACTTTTACCAACTTCACTTCCTTGTTCCTGGAGGACCATAGTCTTCCTATATAAGATGGTAACATGCCTCTCAATGTAGTTCAAGCTCTCATCCACGTGGATGTCGTCCAACGAAACGAATGTGGACTCATCAGTGACACACTTCCCAAGCTGTGACACATAGAATTTGTTGTGAATCTGGCTAAGCTCATTCGACAGGTCCAAGAGATATGCTACCTTGTCCACCCGGGTTGCAATCCCGAACGGGCCTATGTATCGAGGTCCTAGCTTGCCCCTCTTCTGAAACCTGATAACCCCCTTCCAGGGCGACACCTTCAGTAACACAAAGTCCCCCACCTGGAACTGAAGATTCGATCTTTGCCGATCAACATTGTTGGATTAATATCTAAGTCCATAACTATAATTGGTAAGACTTGACCCAACCCGGCATGATCGAGTACATAGTCATGTGCACTGATTAAGTCCACCACAAAAAGATTGATAAGACTATTCGTCATAGTTTACTAAAGCTCAGTAAATATGATTATACTTACAAGCTTAAGTGTAACTCTGAGACATTGGAAAGAGGTTCCAACGTATGGTAGAGCGAATAAGAAGAATCAAATTAGGCAGAAGGATAAAAGTTTCTCAAATCTGAAAAGATGGGAGAGTACTTTAGTATCAGCCTTGTGATCATCTTAATGATTAAGAAACCATATCAAAATTAGTTCTCTAAGGAAAATCTTAGTGCATTCTTATGACTAAGAAGAGGAACTTGAATTGTTGAAGTGGTTAAATCAAGAAAATGAGTCATACTTCGTTCCAATACAAGTCTTAGAGTCATACTCCAAGATTGTAATTTGAGTGACATGTCTTAAAGAAGGTTTAAAAACACTTATCAAATGTAAGAGTAAAAGTTTCCTACTCTTGTACATTTGACATTGGTAAGTTGTGATGTTTTGGATAA